AGGGCGCTCATATTATAAGGTAAGGTTATAAAACCACCTTTTAAGATCATTTTAGTGAAAGTTTCATGTTCCTATCTCATAGAATTTAAGAACAATGATGAATAAATCATTTTCGAGCAAAATTTAAATGGCCGCCTGAATATATTACCGCCGGAGACGCGGCCGCGGAATTTAAATAACCGCGCCAAAGGGTTAATGGACCTTGGACAGGGTGAAAGGACTGGATTAGTTCTCATTTACACACTATGAAGAATGAACACTAATTAGTTTATTTCACTCTCTTCATCTAACACTGTTGGGAGAATTAACAGTGTGAGAGTCCACTTTAATATTATCACTCTCAGTAATTGTAACACTTAACATCACTGTTACTTTCAGTGATACTTGCAAAATGACTTAGTAGCTAAGTCATTACAGTGATGATGATACGATATGATGATGATGATGATATATTTATATATATATACTAGCTGTGCCCGGCCACGCCTTGCTGTGGCTCAGTCTGCCCATTCTTCCCCAGTTTGATTTGAAATTACTCGACGGATTGCTTCCACTCCGCGAGTACAACGACCTAAGTTTGATCTTCTGCGAGGCATTATTTGGATGAACTAAAGCAGATCGATTCCACTGAAGAAGAAGAAAGAAAGTTATAAAAAAAATGAAATTGCAAAACATTAAAAAAGGAAAGAACACGAACTGGAAAACAAAGAAGAAACAAAAAAAAATAAAAAATACTGATGAAATATTTCAGTTCAAATGCAGATCAATCGACACAGCTCAATCCCACCACCAAATGGACTGGAAAATAAGGGAAACAGTAAAGAAAACGAAATGAAGAACAATGAAAAATAAACTATACTCACGAAATGAACGCTATGGTAAATGACACAGCCCAATTCCAACGCAATGTAACACGAAATAATTAAATCAAAATGAAAATAAATCGAAACCGTTTCTGCTTTGATTTCACTCGGAATCTCTTGTGATAGTTGTGACCCCATGATACTCGCGTTTCCATGGAAATATACTTTCCGGTTTCATCCGTTGTTACGCAACTGAACCTATTATCCTATGCAATGGTCTGTTCTAGTGTTAATATGGAAACGACTGCACTGAAGAAGAAGAAAAAAGTTATAACAGAAACATATGAAATTGCAAAACATTAAAAAAGGAAAGAACACGAACTGGGAAACAAAGAAGAAAAAAAAAAAAAATACTGACGAAATATTTCAATTCAAACGCAGATCAATCGACACAGCCTAATCCCACCACCAGTTGCACCGGAAAATAAGGGAAACAGTTAAGAAAACAAAATGAAAAACAACAAAAAATAAACTATACTCACGAAATGAACGCTACGGTAAATGACTCAGCCCAATTCCAACGCAATGTAACACGAAATAATAAAATCAAAACGAAAATTTCGTTGCCACAACAGCTCGTTGCCACGGTTATTCCTAGGCAGCGATCCGCTGTTTCAACAGTTCGTTGCCATGGTTATTCCTAGACAACGACCCGCTGTTTCAACAGTTCGTTGCCACGGTTATTCCTAGGCAACGATCTGTTGGTATTCGATGGACGACGTATAACATGTTACAGTATATTAATATTGAATACAGTTAATACTTTTACCTGTTTTTACCTGTCACGGGTGTGACATCTATATAATAGGTATATAAAAATGCCCGTGTTCGAATGCAACGTTGTGTCAAAATTTCAAAGCAATCGGTGAAGAACTTACAGAGATTTAAGAACACGGACAAACACACATTTACATTTTTATTTATATAGATATATATCAAAGCAGCACAGTTTTTGCATCTATTCTGCTTGAGGATTAGATGAAGACTGTTCTTGGAAGGACACTGTCTGATGTAACCAGCTTCTGCAAACTGTTACTTTAAAATGACAATGCCTCCCTTAAATTAGCATGATTGGCTCTCTTTAAACTTTAGGGTGTACAAGGATAATTGTTTCTACCAATAAAATATAATTATCAAATAAGTATAATACTTTAAACCTGTAAAGAGTTCTAACCATTTTAGTTGCTTGGTCAGCTTTGCTGTGGGAGGTCACTTATACTGGCTTAATCTCAGATTACAAGTGGCTAGTAGCCGTGTTGAACTGCTAAATTTTAAGAACTAACACTGTAAGTTGCAACCTGTATTGCAGCAAAAATGGATATTTTACATTTACGTACAAATGGGATTATGTACTTTAACCCTTCCGCACCGACATCCGTGTGCTGCACCGACCCTTTAAATAATCGTATGCCACGGACATCGGTGCAGTGCACCGACCTGCGCA